GACACAGGACAAAGCAACGCAGTGTTTGTGGTGAGAGGAGTTTAGAAGTAAACAGTGAGAAGAGAAGAAAGAAATTGTTAGGTCCGGTGGGAGGAGGAAAAGAATTTCTTGCGCAACTTCTTAAGATTTTCCACTGGAAAATACACACTGATGAAGGTTATTAAATCATGAAAGGAATCACTACCAAGCCCAAAATAGTCATATTATTAGTTTAACATATTTAAAAAATTAGGAAAACATTTACACTTGCAGCTTATGTTCATTTTAATACTTGAAGGCTCATTAGGTAATGTAAAAAATAGCAATTGCAGGTTTATATAATACAAAACTGCCTGTGTTAATGTGGTAATTCTCTGTAGGTTCATCACTATGAGGGACCCCTCATTGTCACATTGCTTTCACAACGTCATTTGATGTGCAAAAATACTGATTATAGCTGCGTTAAAGTCTTAGAACTTTATTATCTTCAGTAATTTCATTCACAGTAATTGTATCCTCTAATAGTAATTAGACATCCTGTCTCTTGTTATTTAATTTAGTCCCTTTCTCATTGTTTCCTGTTGATCTTTTATAAACGCTCATGTTCAGTTGCAGAGAAGGTGGTTTTGCCAGCTTTTAATTTGAAGTTAATTTTAAATATTGGTAACACTGATAGCAAAAAAAAAACAAATTCAGAGTTTTACAGGGAGTACATGTTTTCCTTATAAAGTGCAGCTGCAGTACGTAGAGACAGTCAATTGTTCAGTCGTGAGTGGATGATTTGAGTTTCCACTGTTCAAATCAAGCAGAGTGACTCTGCAGTTCCCTACCACCTCCTCAGAGGAAAACGACCTCTATCATCAGATTGGCCACTTCAGCAGCAGTACACCCACTTACCCAACTAAAACTGTAACATCTAGGTAGGTTGATGCTGAGCTGCTAATTTGGATCTGACCTGTCTGCCTGCGTCACTGTCGTTGGATCCTGAGCTGAGGGACGTCTGGCCAGCTGCCTCAAGGACTTCTGGGATCCTGATGGCTGGAGGCTGTTGACTGCCAGCGTAGAAATTTCTTAACTTTTTACTGTGGTTCTTCCCCTACAAAGATAGATAAGGAGATATAAATTTGTGTATCATATTGCATATTTTGTACATTGTGTTCTTCAACTGACCTGGTAGTGAGCCTGTGCCTGCTGAGCGGAGTTGAGGGTAACGTTGCAGAGTTTACAGTACAGTGGTTTACACAGTTCCCCCAGCCCCAGAGAGTCCTCCTGCTCCTCCATCCCCAGCGGAGAGCCCTCATCCTGGGGTTGCTCGCTGGCTGGGACTGCCTGACCCGAGAGAGGACCAGGGATGAGGCAGGACATTGGGGCTGGGATGAGGGCCGGTCCTGGGTGCCTTGGCGGCATCTGTGAAGGGTCTGGGCCCGGCGCAGGAGGGGAGGACAGTGGGCTGGGAGGGAGGGGGTATCTGTTGGCTCCAGGCGCCACTACGGGTGGGGGCACCAGTGCATGTGCATGGTTGAGAGGTGGAGGCCCCAACGGCTGTGTGAGGTCCATGGTTGGAGGCACTATTGCTTGAGTGTGATCTACAGGTGGGGGCAACATTGTGTGTGCCATTGGTGGAGGACCCAGTGGCTGAGCTGGGGCCATTGGAGGGGGGCCTAAGCTGTGTGGTGGGGTAATGGGGGGAGGCCTTAATGTGTGAGTAGCAGTCATGGGAGGGGGGCCTAGAGTCTGGGGAACCATATTTGGGGGTCCAATTGCCTGAGCAGGGGCCATGGGTGGTGGGCCGAGAGGCTGCGTAGGAGCCATTGGCGGAGGTCCCAGCTGGTGCAGAGAGTCCATGTGATGGAAAGGCTGCTGGGGATGGCTGAAGAGACTCAGAGGAGGCTTCAACATGGTCTCTGGGCCTGTGGACACCAGAGGCACACACACACAGAGACAGATATTACAAATCAAAGACATTTCTTACAAAGAACTCAAAAAGTAACCTTGATGGAGTCAAGGACGTCAGTGCCTGAGTACAATAATACACAATGAATTATATAGTCAATTGCCATTCATGCCATTTCAGCTTGTGAAAATACAATTTTACCCTTTTTATTGCATGCCATATCAAGGTGTACGTCTACTGTATATTCAAGGAAACTATAAAGCATTCAAAAAGTGCAAGCAAGAAAAAGCCATGGCATTTCAGTTGGTCGGTCCAGACTGTAATATCCCAACAACTATTGGATGGATTGTCATGAAATTTTGTACTGTCATTTCTGGTCCACAGAAGATGAATCCTAATGAGTTTGATGATCTTTTTGACTTTCCTTGACTTCATTCAGCTCCACCAGCAAGCCAAATCTTTCACTTATCCAGTAAAAAGTAAAATGTAACTGTAGAAGGATTTGATACAGACATTCAAATGTCAAATTGCTTTTCTTCTGGCACCACCATATAGGCTATCTTGTAGTAAGAGCCATGTTGTTATTCTGTATCTTGATCTGGGTCTACATTAAAATACAGCTTGAAAAATAGTAGGGGGTTCATCAAAATTTGGCAAAGATGGGATGTAATCCGTAGGATGAGTGGTGGAAAATTAAATTCCGATCAAAGAGAGACATGAGCATGATCTCTTCTGGTGGATTTGTCTTGAAGCAAAGAATGCAGAAAATTAAGTCACACAGTTCAGAAGTTGTATGAAAAAGAAAGTGCCCTAATTTAACCTGAAATCTGCAAATATGTTTTTAAGATATCCTACTGACAAACATGTCAATCTGTAAACAGCCTTGGAAAAATAAAGATGTGATTTGCATTGATTTAGACTGTTGCTAACGCTTCAGATACTACAGACTACAGACAGTGGATTTTATCTCATCACAGATCATCAAACGAAAAGGACTTTCCAATGACCAATGTACAGTGACACTAAGGCATAAGGCATATTCACTGAGGAGGCAGAAGAGATGTAAAGAGATGGGTGAATGGAAACACATTCTCGGACAGAGGAGCTTCACACTCCAGTGGGCATCATAAAGATTAGGCCGAGCCTGCAGCGCCTGCAGTCATGCATGCATGTGCACACACACAAACAGAGACAGTGACAATAAAATCCTCAAGCTTCCCCGAACAGAAGAGATCACAGCCTGAAGTGTGACTGCTCGAATAGGCTGATATAGTTTATGTGTGTGTGTGTGTGTGTGTGTGTGTGTGTGTGTGTGTGTGTGTGTGTGTGTGTGTGTGTAGTTAGATGGTAGACATGGTTGTGTATGTATAACAAAACAGAAAGAAAGCATTATATTAGGCACTGTCCTGATTTGTGCGCGTTCGTTTGTGCCACTCTAATGCTCCATTTTTGTGTGTGTGTGTGTGTGTGTGTGTGTATGTGTGTGTGTGTGAGTATATAACTATATAATTTGTCAGGTCAGTAATAGGCCAACAGCTGTGTCAAAACTCACTGTGCTGGAAGCTTTTATATGGAATCCAATCGGACGCCCAATGCCAGTGATTCATGGACCCAAAATAACACCCCAGAGTGTTTGTGTTTCCGACTGCTGCTTGCTGTCAGTCCGTCTGTCTAGTCTGTCCAGCTGCCTGTCTGTCACCTGGCCTGGCTGACCTCAGGAGAAAGGTATGCCGGACAGGCCACTGACCTTACTACAGGCAACTGCAAGATGACACTGTGGAGGATTCAGCAGGGCTGGATGAGTTGCCTATACATTAATAAAGTACTATTACGCAGCAGTTGCATGTAAGTAAATATCAGTTTCCCTATGCATCTGCATTGTGAGCGTTGTTTAGCCTGCTACTGAACACTTCATCACAGCAATGATAGCCTTCGTAAAGACAGAAATGTTACAATAAACATGAAAAGTTAAAATAAATGGATATATTGTAGCCATTAAAAGGTTAAAAGAGGGCCCAAAAGGTGTTACAATACAGCAGGATGGTGCTTCAGTTATTCCTATTTTTCACTGGTGCTGAGTCAGACACATTCTCAGTGCTCAACAATCACTATTAACACCATCCAGAACCAGATCCACCAATCACATACTGCACATCATCAGCAGCAGCAGCCCCATGAGGACCCTTCAACCCTGATTGAGACAGCCTGAACAGCAGTCCGGAAAACTCACCACAGCAGCAATTATAAGCACAAAGGACGGCTGACCCTTTTTGCTTGATATTATCATTAAAGGTTGGGTATGCGAGTCAAATCCAATACACTCTTTATAACTCAAATATCTCCTCACTGACCGCAAGCTGTCCGTTCAGCTCGGAAGAATCCAGTGGTTGTACGCAGAACTGGAAAGTGTCTCGAAGCGGATCACGCAACCCTACTCCAGCCATGATTTGTGTGCCAGGTGGCTTTAAATGACTTACCCACGGACATGCAGCTCACTTCCTCGTTTGCCAAGATATGTTGTTGTTGTCTTGAGCTGGTGTGTTGGTTCTGGGGAACCGTCTCGTCCTTTCTACATGTTAGGAGCAGGAGCAACTTTAGGCAAACTAGGGTTGGTTACATTACTGTACTAGCTGTGTTGTTGCCTGCTCTATGTTGTGGTATTTGTCATGGTATTGGATTCCTCTAGAATGGCATACCCACCTTTAAAGGACCAGCGTTTAAGATTTAGTGGCATCTAGTGGTGAAGTTGCAGATTGCAACCATTTGAATACAGCTCAGTCTTCAAACTACATGAAAGGCCTTGTCTAGAGCCACTGTTTGGTTTGTCTGTTCTGGGCTATTGCAGAAACATCTGTAGATAATAACTGCTCATTCTGAGGTAACAAAAACACAAAGAGTCTAATTTCCGGGTGATTACACACTAATAAAAACAAACCTATGATATTCCATTACTGCCAATAGATCTTCCTAAATGTTACACACTGGACCTTTTCTGACACATGTCTACATACATACTACATATATATGTGCACATATATATATATATATATGTGTGTGACTGGACTGACTATAACAACTTAATAATAATAATAAAAATAAAATAAAATCGTATTTACATTTTACCTCCACCTTTATTTCTGTTTTGATAGTCTTAACTTCTGACAGCCTATTATGATCCAAGATGTGCACTGTGAGCAACGATTGATTGGTTCTGAAGGGAAAACAAGCTAAATTCCAACACTCTGATCACATTTGTGAGCACATTTGTTTTTTTTCTAGCAGGAGAGGAAATATTGCTGTTATTGCCCATGACTGACTAATAACTCTAACAATCGCAGTCCCATAACTCTTTATTAAGCCTAGGTGACAGCGTAGGAGAGCAAAATGTACCCTTGTTATCCAGAAGAGAACCCCAAAGCAGCCACAAAAACATTATGAGTGTGCTGATTACGAACAGTTCTTCGTCAACACTGTGGTAGCCAAAACAACCATTTACTCTATGATGATAAAAAAATAAGATCCTCCCACAAGAACATCATAGTAGAGTCAACAGTACAGCTTTAATTATACCACTGCACATAATAAAGAGAAGATTGATGCCTCTTCCATTTTAGTTGTTATCTTTCCATTGGTTCAGTGTGAGCTAGATAGGCCAAGGGCAGTTTTGTCCTCCTCCTCAGAGACCCAGATCCAGGTCCCACAAAGTGCAGTCAACAGAGCTGCAGTACATTGTGCATGTTCAACAGCAGTGGACCTTGCTGCAAAGTAAAAAAAAAAAAAACCTTTGTTGCTTTGGATTTGAGTTTTTGGGGAGAACACGATCAACTTTACGTCACGTACGTTTAAGTCATAATTAGGCTTAATGTTATGTTATATTGCTGAAGCACAAGGCAGCAAGTGATCAGTGGATATATTTGAGGGAAATGTTGTAGGTGAACTTGAAACTACATTCGAAGTTGGTCAAATTTTTTGAGCTGGACTCAAGATTTCTCGGTTTGCTGGTTTCGAACCAAGCCACAAAAAAAAAAAAAAAACTGTCCTAGAGCCTGATCATCTCATGGCCTCCACTGAGAATCTCTAAATAGGCCAAGTGTTCGTTTCCTCTAGAGTTTTTTCTTGCCATACTGTGTTGTGTCACATCAATTATGGAGCGATGAGAAGCACATGCCTCCTGCACTTATTCCATCTGCTTCACTGGGCACTGGACGAGAGCAGAAAGCAGCAAAGACCAGATACATATTACTGTACCATTACAGTAAAGCCTAGCTTCCACTTTTATTTTAAGTCTAAGTAGCGCTGAAGGGTTTCGAATGTCATTCATAATCGTAAACATAAAGTGAGTTGTATTCTCCTCTCTTGGCCTATGCAATGGGCTGCTATTAATATATCAATTAGTGATTATCCCTGCTTATAGGAAACAACTAGCACTGGACATAAAGCATATCTGAATAACTTATTGATGATTTATTGAAAATTATCATCAAACTTATATACAAACAACATTTTGTTTCTTTACTTTTTTGATGACTTAATTAGTTTGTCAAAATAACTTCTGCTAACTTCAATCAAATGATGCCATCTTTGCAAAATGAGTAGGCTGACAGAGGCTGAGTGAAGATGACAGTGGTGTACCTACATGACTCTGACACATGCTGGCCTCAAGTCCCCAAGACCTGCAGCCAAATGCCTGTTTTGGCAGCGACCGTGCAGGTGCAGTGAAGAAAACACTTACTGTGTAATTGCCACATGCCACCATCAGCTGTGCAGATCAAGCAGCGCAAAAGGCTATAAGGAGTGAATGGAGCAGCGACGATTCACTTTCTATTTCTTTTCACTTGCTCTGACAATACAGCACTTGATTGACTGCCATTCTCGGTGAGATGAGAGTGAACCCTGCACTCAGCCTATGCAAGATCACAGTCAGACATCAGCTCAAAACCTGGAGTCTCCCTACAGCTCCCCCAGTACAAGAGACCATTAGAGTATCTCGACAACCTCAGATTTTTGCATCGCAGCATCCATAAGCTGGACAGAATGACGGCTGATGCCCCCCTCCTCCCCTCTCTCCCTACATGACATGATGGGGATGACACCAGCAACCAGGGCAACCGGTTTCCAGCTTCCTCTGTGCCATCTGCAAATGTCTCTGGTTAAGATTTTTCCCTCCATCCCTTTGCAACATTAGCGCACATATAAGACCGCTGACAGTCAGAGAGGGGAGATCCTGTATGGCAAGCCATCTCCTTACCTGGCAATCGGGCAAGATAATGGCTGCTGTCACCGTAGCTGACAGGCGGCGAAGTGTAATTTCTGCAGTACTCTGCACTCTGGTAGTACGCTGCATCCCCGTTCTTCAGCTGCAGCGCCATCATCGCAGTCACATCCCTTTGCCAACTTCTCCTCTCCAAAAAAACCGGGCGGCCAGGCAGGATGACAGTCCCTACCACTCGCTCAGGCACCGTGGCTTTCACCGGAGGGGTGGTTCGCAGAGGGGGAGCGAAATACGGAAAGTGCTACTCCGCAAATAGTGCGTGTGAGTGTACAGCATGTGCACACGCTGCGTCTGCGCTTTCACATGAAACGTCGACAGAGATGCTTCTTCGTGGCGAAAGTGGATTTTTTTAAAA